GTTGTTGTTGTTGCTGATGTTGTTGCTGTTGTTGATGTTTACTAATATTTCTATTGTTACTATTACTAATAGTACTGCTATTATCAATTGTAGTAACAATATTGCTCTTATTAATCATGGATGTTTTAGTTGGAACACGAATGCGCTGCATGTCTGGCCATGTTTGCTCACCTGACAGACAGCGAAGTTGAAAAACTCATGATTGTTTGTGTACTTACTCATATTAAGCTCCACAGAAGATGTCCACCTTATATACCTCAAGCATTACATTTTTGCATCCCGCCCAAACAAAAAGACCCGTGTTCTTGGGAAAAAGCTTCCTACAGGCTGCTGAGCTGGGCCTCTGCCTCCGGTCACCGCGCCTTGTTCAGAGTTGAACGCATGGCTGCATCGCAGTATTCAAACTCGCAGGATCCCTGCTGGGGATCCTCAGAAAAGCCTTACGCAGTTCAGATTTTGGGAATACACAAGGCCACCCTCTGAATAAAATGTGTTTTTCTGGCGGTACGTTGGAGACCCTTGGTGTGCCTCACTTTCGCTTCTCCAGAGCTGGGAGCTTCGTGGCCATGACCATGTCCACAGTCTGACACGGGGAGAGATGAGGGCTGTGGGGATCAGGGTTTAAGTTTGGCGGGTTTGGGGGTTTCGGGCATGCAGCCATCCGAGGGACGGAGAAACTAACCTAATGCAAAAGCAAGAGAGTCGTCTGCAATCACGTGCTGAACATCTCCCTCCCTCCAGTTGGATTCAGTTGTCTTAAGAAACATCACCTTGCAATCCTGATTTCAAGTTCTCAGCGCAACTTGACGCCGCACGTGAAAAGCCAACCTTGTCTCTGACCGAGTCAAGTTCGTCGAGAGCCTTGCTCACTTCATCGGCCTTGCAAATCACGCTTGGAAGTCAAGGAATAGAATCTAAGACACACCGAGGGTTCTGTACATATACTGCTTGAAAAAAGTGTGATAATTCGCATGCGCTTGAGAAAACCTTCGCAGTTCTGGTGCGTCTACTGTCTGCTCAGCCAAACTGGCTCAGGAGCACAATTTCTATCAATGTCGGGCTCTCGCCAGGTATCTCCAAAATCGTGAAAGTGCACGGCCCGAAAGGAAGCTCAGGTTTGTGGAAAGCCCGCTGGCCTTCATCAGTTTGCCGTCGCTAATCGCAACAATCTCACCGCTGTCCAACTTGCCCTGCAGCGAGGGCGGAGATTACGCACGGATATTATCACAAAGGAAAATCGAACGCTGGCAAAGAAAAAGGAAATCCAGAGCACGCTACTACGTTATTCAGGGTTTAGGGTTCAAGCAATTGCTTCTTTTGTGCAGAATTACTTGGCTGCAAGCTTGACATCACTTCTAGCCTGAAAAGGTAGTTTCCCTACCTTGAGGGGCCCAATATTGGGCTTGTTGTGGGAGATTTTGGGAACCCTAAACCCTAGTCTCTAAACCCTAAACATAAACAACCCCAATATAACCCCTAATTTTAGGAAACCCCCCAATGTAAGCTATAGTCTAAACTCCTAGTATCTCCATACAATAATCCCCTATATAATCCCCTATCTAATCCCTGATATATCCCCCTTTGGGGCGTTTATATGGGATCTCATCCGGGGCGCCAACCTGCAGCTCGCCAACATCTGCCAGCTTCGCCAACTGCTCCTAACCAGCATTAAAGTTGTATGGGGGTTCTCTGAGGGGTTTTAGGGTTTAGGGTTTTAGGGTCGATGATTTTGGGGTTTAGGGTTTAGGGTATATGAGGGGTTGTGGGGGTTATGTGGGGGTTATGTGGGGGGATATGTGGGATTATATTGGGGTTATATAGGGGCTATGTGGGAGTTATTAGGGGTTATACAGGGGTAACCCTAGTTTAGGCTAGTTTTGGAATCAAAGCAAATCCAAGCACTACCTGTACCCGGGTATTCCGAATCCTGACCTAACTTCCTGGCTTTTCGTGAAGTCCAGCTTGCGTAGAGTTGCTCATTTTGCCGGAAGCCAATGTCAGCCTTGATTTGCTAAATTGAAGTTATCGGAAGCTACGAGCACCGCATGGCCATGGTCAATTGTCTTGTTCATCATTCACGGAAAGCACATGGATGCGAGGAGTCACACACACTGTAATGTCATGGTACGTGTACATGACGCCTATGCCCCTAAGTGCCCTTATATTCTTCCTATACATAGCCTCATGATGTGAGCCATAATCTAAACTGCTAGTAACTGCTAATATCCCCCTCAATAACCCCTACAATACTCCCCTATAGAATCCCCTGTATAACCCCCTTTAAGAAGTTTTAGATTATGGTGTGGTAGTACCCAAACTCTCTTTTCCATCAGACCCCGACCCTGCCTGCTCCAGCTTGCCAGCTGCAGCCATCTCGTCATTTACACCTGAGTAATTGAGGATGAAGATGGAAGAATACAAGGGTTTCTCAAAATTAGGGTCTCCTATGTACCTGGGAGCGACTGCTCTTCCAAAAAGTGCTTGGGTTGAAGGCGCCGGGTGGAGTATGTGTGCGTAGAATCAGCATTGCCCTTAGCTTCAAGCCAAAGAGGATGCTGCTGTACTCATCGCACTCAATCTTGTACCTGGCCAGTTCTTTTTGGCTCCACGGAGCGCAATGAAAGAGCATAGTACCCATAGAACACCTCAGCGCAATCACGGAACTCTAAATCTGAACTTCCAAACAGCTGCGGCACTTGCGCTCGATCTCAGGCATCTGGGCCATGGCTTCGTCCATGGAGAGCGCCTTCCGGTAGCCAGCCGTTGGTAGGCAGTTGAGATGCCGCCAAAAATCTGGAGTCCGGAGAAAGAAAAACAGAAACCCACCTTGGCCGCTTTCCAGCGCTCCTCGTGCTCCTCCGCGTAAGCCTTGCGAACCGAGGCTACTTCGAGGCATGCCCCAGAAACACCCCCCTTCAGATTGGCTGCTTGCGTCTGCGCTATGCTTGTTCTGCGTACGACTTACTTGACCCACAGAGCAGATCAAAGACCTTCTGCAAGGCATGAGTCTGGGAACCCCCGGCCGCGTAAATGTCATAGGCAGGGTCTGACTTCTTGAGCCTGGCGTCAGCATCACAAACTGGGCTGTCTCCAGGATTCCTGAAAAGATCTTGCGGCAATAACCCTCACCACAAGCCATGCCAGCCTGCGCATGAAGGCTTCCCTGGAGCTCTCGCCTACAAACCATGAGATGCAAAGCCACAATGCACAGCAGAACCTCTACAGCACGCACAGGAGTCAAGCTTGCAAGTTGCTCCATGAACTTTGCTGCCCAGCATGATAAGCGACGTTGGGAAATACAGGCTTCGCCAACTATATTTTGACGTGGATTCTTAAAGAAACATCCGTGAGAGAGTTGCTGAAAAATGAGTCCATCGGTCTCAATTTGCAGGCCAAAGCCACAGTTACTGCTACAGCTGCTTCCATGATCTTTTCCATTTAAAACTGACCATCGTAAGCTGCCGCGCTATCCGGTTACCCTGGTCCTGTGCGTGGTGCCTAGACAACCCCTTGGTTTTTTCTGAGCTGCCCGCCAGGTGCCGTGAACCAGCTGCCTGGCATGGTTCACACTCATGCACTGCAGCTCATAAGCCAGTCAAACCTCTGTTGCAAGGTCAAATATCTCACTCTTCTTCCGTATCCAAACCTGCACTGTATTTACCATTTCCCAAACCCCAAGTATCGAATTATTGGGTACTTGGACCCTCTGAAGGGAGACGAAGGGAGCCTGAGGCCCTGGAGAATTCCCATGTTCACGTCAGTCGAGTCATATCAGTACCGTGTGTCAGTAGTGGCACTTGCAGCCACATGTTTTCGTTGCGAAAACCTTCGCGCCCAAATTGCGTTCGATTTGTTTCAACGGTAAAGAGGATGTGACAAGTTGCAGTACGGCGCTTGAGGAGCATACAGCTCGTTAGTCCAGTAGACTCTCCCTCCCTGGAGATCTTCTCATCCCTGAGGAATGACAAGCCCCAAAACTGCAAGACTACGAGGCGTTTCAAGCCTGCTGGCCTCCCAGGCCCTCTTTGCGAGAGGCTAGCACCTCGGTGAAGGATTCGAAGGCCGCTGCATAGCCGGCCTCCCGGTCACATGGCAACGTGGACATAATACATCAAGTCCAAGGGTCCCCACGAATTCGTACAGCACAACATCACAAATCCTACTACTTCCATGTCAAGCTTCAGCTGCACTACTTAGGCAGCATGATGGAACAAGGCAACATCATGGTCCTGCTCCTCCTGGTTTTAAAGTTCAACTGTTCATGGGTTGCTCTTCAACCCAGAGTGAGCCCGCTGTTGTGACAGAATCGGCCACAAAAACGGAGGCAGCGGCGCCGTGTACGCAGCACGCATCTTTGATGCACTTGGTGCCGCTTCATCTGAAGATTGGCGACATGCCACATACGAGTGATGCTTTGCGGCTGGTCACTGGGTCTTGCCACCTTGCCGCTTGGTCGGTCCTGTCGGTCTGACATCAGGACCAGGATGACGCCGACCATTTACGATAGGGTCAAGTCCGCGATAGTCACAGGTGTACAGACATGGGCAGCACCACGTCGTCAAGTCCACGCACTCACAAACACATCTGCCAGCACTCGCAATGCAGCCACAGATCTCGCACAGGCAGCGCCATGGCTGATCATCGCAGCTGGCCATTGATCGCAAAGGATTCAGCAAAAAATCTCGTGTATGCGCATCCCAGCTGAGCTTGCTTTCTCATCTGCTCCTAACCGCTGTCCAAAGTATTCTGAGCAATGCTTACAAGAAAACATGAGGCTGCCCCCCGCACCCAAATCCACTCTGATCCAAAGCGATTTTCTAGCTTGCTTCCTGATAGCATGCAGTTCGAGCGCTAGATGCCCCAAACTCGCTTGTCAACCATCCAGCCTCAAACTTGCGTCCCGTCATGGTTGCGTGGTCCGCCAGGGCCTGCAATGAAGAAACCTCCTAAACCTCTCCTAACCAATTATCGAGTTCAGCACATAACGAGTAACTGTGTCTGCTGATGTCAGATGCAAAATGCATCAGAGCGAACTCCATCGCCTGGAAGCACTCCACAGGGTCCGGCGTTGAAAGCTCTTCCCCCGCAGGCTTGTAGAAGAGGCAATTGACATCGGCGCCAAGGCTATAGAAAGTACCTGTGGGTGTCAGTTAGGGAACAAGCCATCCAGGATCTTTTACAAGGTAGTGCTAAGACTGTCATGCCTTTTTGGAGATGCGCCGTCCTCTCCCGACAACAGCAAAGGAATTCAGCAGCACTCGGTGGTGGAGTGGTAGTTGTCGTAAGGGAAGTCATTCATTGTTGCTTGTTTAAGGAATTATGAACACATAAGCCCACCGACTACCGATGCTGGAGCAGCACTATCTGCGAACCCCGCGCAGAGTCTACTTTGACTGAACGAACCTGCTGTTCCCATATGTACACTACCTGGGGCAAATGGTGAAACATGTGGACCGAAAGCTTTGCCCATCCATGCCAGTAGTGGGTCAGTAGGATGCACAGCACTGTACCGGCTACCACTTAGGCAAGCGAAAGCATCATCAAAACATGTTCCACGCCCCAAGGATGTCGCGCATCCGGATCTGCAGCGCAGATGAAGCAGTGGCTGCTAGATGGAACTACGCCAACAGCCAAACCTGCATGACCTACCGCCTAATCACACTGTCAAATCCTGGCTCCCGCCTTGCGGCGCACAGAGCAAGTGTGGCCCTCGATGTACCTGATCAGGATTCCGAATGCTTGCTCTCAAGTACTCAGCACCTTGCTGCTGGCTGCTGAAAAAAGCGCACTTCATGACCAACAGCGGCTTGGCGCCCTCCTGCGATGCCGTGACCTGTGTCAGCACGGATACAGGTTGAAAGTTAGGCACCCGTCAGCTTCAATCGAATCTTCACCCACTGCAGGGCCTGCGAAGACATCATCTTCTCCTGCCCAGCAAGCTATGCTTGTGTTACAGCGGATAAGACCCTCAGCAGGCAGTGAGTGGATTCCTTTACCTCACCTGTTGCTGTGGACCGTGTCCCTACTCAATTCTGGCACGACAGGCACGACTTCTTTGTCCCTAACTGTTTTCTGTCCTTCACAGCTGTGCGCCAGCTGTTCAAAGAGCACTTGCTGAGTTCCTCTCAGGCAGCTGATGCACAGATCTCTAGGGACTGCAAGTGCCTGGCAGCACGATGTCCTGGAATCTTCGCAGCAAACAAACTCTTACTGAAGTTGTGGATCTCGTTAGGAAGTACGGCGCTTATGGCTGGGAGCTCAGGAGTGCAAAGCGCAAAGGTTGGATTCATTTTGCAGCTCTCAGTCCTTCTCCTTGTCTTTGATTCCCTGCCAACACGGGGGAGGTGATGTCTAAGTTTGTGCGAGGACAAGCATCAAGGCACTGAAAGAAATGCTGAAAGAGAGAGCGGAAGAGTGGATCCAAGCCAACCGTAAGCTTCACATCTCGTGCATTGGCTATGCATTGGCTATGGCCTGGGATACAGATCAACAATCCTACCCCGTGCATTATCGACTCTGCATAGGTCCGAGGGCACCCGCTGATATGCAAATTCCAAAAAGCACACAAAGATTAAAGCTGCAAATGCAGTCGTCATCTTTCCCTGGTACGCCGAAGTTTGCTCTGCGTTGAAGGTGTTCAGACATTCACATGTAACGAAATGCGTGGGTGTACAATTCTAGGTATGTCTATATATAGATATGTAGATATAGAGACACGTGTGTTTGTGCATAGGTCTAATGAAGAGGTATGGGCTTAGGCCTTTTAGGGGCCCTTAAGGGTACATATAGGGTAGAAAGCAGGTATACAAGGATCCCAGGGTTGAGGGCCCATACTAGCGGCCCGTTTGTATACCTTTTTAAAATTATGTACATGAGGTTGCCGATGTATATGTACAAATGAATGGGTCTGAGCTTTGTGCTTTTCCATGTAGCACACCATGTGCCCATGCGGAATGGACCATGCAACACCTCCCTCGAGACATCGTGACAAGCGCCGGGCCTTAGTTTTGCTCTTCGCGGCCGGTTTGGCACCAGCCTTGTGCTTGACCTTTCCGGATCAGAGTTCAGGGTTTGGGGCTTCTCTGGGGATGAGGGTTCCTTAGGTTCAGGATCCTGATTGCTGGTGCCAAAACCACAACCAGGACCGCGGCTAGGCCAGGGATATCTCCCTCATCTGCTGCTGCGTCCTCGCCAAACACTTGTACAGACAGTTGTACAAGGCTAAGCGATCCAAATAGGCATATCTTCAACACAAGCATCTAGCTACAAGAAGCAAAGAACCTTCTTCTTGTGGAAACAGTGGAGGCTTCATTGCTACCCCACTGGCTCCTGAGCATCCTCCATTTCAGCATCCTGCTCCTGCACGCAAATCCACATGATCAAGCTCGAGTGCTTCGCAAGACGAAGTTTTAAGAGATGCTTTTGCTGGCGTACAACAGCAGAAGCACCAACGCATCAATATCCCTATACCATCCTATACCCCAAATGCTCCTCATGGAGCCCCCAGAGAATCAGTCAAAACCCTGTAGAATCCCTACATGACCCAAATAACCCCTAGTTAATCCCTATATGAGTTGAGCCATTGGAGTAGTCAGTGCCCAGCATGACCTGAGCATGGCATCCCACCACTCCAAAGGTCTGGGAATCTGGTCCTGGGTGCAACCAGTTTCTGTACCTTCGAATGGCTTGTTGGTGTCCGGATAGTTGGCAGTACGTTTCAAGCCTTGAAATGCTTTGGAAGAAGCTCCCGACACCACCAGTGCAAACGCCTGCCAGAAGCTCGGAGAGTGGACGAAAATGAATCCTGGGCTCCCTTGTCTTTCATCTTCTCGAATAGGAGTTGACCTTCTGACATGTGAGCAGGACCAATTTCACATCAATCCGACGTATTTCCGGCTGCAGTTTTCTGCCGTCGCTGCGCTAGTGGCTGGCAGCTGCTGCCGTGGGGGGGGGGGGCGAACCAAATCTATCTTTACGTCCTTCAGGCGCCGCTCATGCTTCTAACAGAGAGTGCTTCTGCAGGATTGCCAAGATCGCCGCCCTGCTGCTAGCTGAACTTCTCGATCTTTCGAGAGAATGGACCAAGCATGGCTGGCTCTTCGCAGCCGCAGGAAAATTGCGCAAAGTAAGGATGCGAGATGAGAAGTTGTAGACAGAAACAAAGATCCTGGATCTCTGTCTTTGTTTGCAGCTTCAAATCATGCATCCTTCCTTCCAGCAATCTTTCCACAGCTGCTCCAAGAGCCAGCCTCGCTTGTTCCAGGAAAAAATCAGCCCTTACGTCGTCAAATCTTGTGCGCTTCGTTTTGGTGCCCAAAATCCGCCGGGGGCTCTGCTCATCAATAACATCTTAGACCGGGCCACGGAGTCAGGCTCACATCAGGTCATCAGGTCAAGCAAGATTTGCCAACTCTACAAACATGGGGGCCTCCAGCTTCTGGGACGTGGTCTGCCCACCACCACTTTTCCGCCTTGGTAAGACTTTGACAAGGCTTGCAACCACATGCTAAGCAAACGTGTCGGATAGAGTTGTAGCAGTCACAGCCTTCTTCTAAGAAAGCCTTGCCTGAAGCATTCTGAGCTGCCAACCGTCGAGCAGCTGGGTCCTGCTGTCAAGGTCACTGCCATACAACCATGCAAGAAAGTATGCAAAGGGCGGCTTCCTCGTGGTTCAGCGTCTTTCGCTTTGGAGCCGAAACTTGTGCAAACAAGTTCTGTATCTCCTGCCAGGCCCGAGATACTCCCAAGAAGCCTCCATGTCAAACTGTGTGACACCTGCCTGCAGCAGCCGCGTGCGAACGGCCACATCTACCTGACAAACTTGCGCAGTCCTGCTGTAGGGAATCCCTTCTCCTCAGGTATCCCTGTCAGGCTACCCTAACTCTCTTTGTACAAGCTTCAAGCATGGGCCTGCAACACTGTGCTGGCTAAAGGGATGATTGACGACACTTCTACAGGCCTGACACTGTGTTTGGCCGAATGCTATCAGGGTAGCTTTGAAGCATGAGGGCAAGAAAACGAAAAGCTCCAGAAACGAGATCCACTGGAAGACGACTCGAGAAAGACCTGTCCCCTTCTGAATCTTTTTGTCTGAAGGTTTCTTAAAAGCAGGTGGTTTTGACGAATAACTTTAAAGTCTGATGTGCATAGGGACCACGATTTTGTGAAATACCCTTTTCTGCTCAGTGGCCCGCCTTCCTGTAGGTGTCCTCAAGCTGCAGTGGCTGACGGAAGGATGGCGCCTGTCAAATGATCTACAAGTTTCGTGAAGTGACCAAAATTTGGACCATGAGTCCCACTAGCTGTATGGACAATAATATCCTATACTATACCATAATTTATCATAAGATACTATAATCGCCTCTTTGGGGTCCGGACTTTTATTTTGGGTGCCAAGACATGGTGGAGGATGGCTCCAAATTCTGAGGCCATGCGGTATCCAACACTTTCACTTGGGAATCTCAGCCAGACGATTTTCATGCTTGCGTGGACTGTCAGCCGAATCATGTAAGTATTCCTGCCGTTGCTACAATATTGGTATTGATCATTTCATTTTCAACCCTCATCCCCGAATGAAACCTGAACTGGATTGTTGCGATGCTCTCCAAAGATCCGCATGAAAACCCTAATAACCCCTGTATAACCCCTGTAATCCCTATATAACCCCAATATTACCCCAGGCTTTGCAGCAAAGAGGTCCTTGGATGAGATGCGCCTGGTCAGTGAAGAACTCTCGCGTCAGGCCGTGATGGTGCAAAGCCTCAAAGTGCAATGTGACCTATAGTCTAAACTCCTAGTATCCCCCTTGATAACCCCTAGAGTAGTCCCCTAAATAATCCCCTATATATATATAAGGAAAGTGAAACCTCCTTGAGTGCTTGGACTACAGGACGATGGGGCCAGTCAAAATGAATATGAAATCATTGCTAATCTCTAGCTTTCTATTGGTAGGGGAGCTTCTGATTTTGCAGGTCAACCAAGTCCATGATGCAAGGACCCTCTCCTTACCAGCCATTCTTGCTGACTTGCGTTGCCCTTTTGCTCATTCCCATACTCTTGCGCTGCCTCTGCGCACTCCCTGGTGAAGCCCTGCACCAGCATCTGCATTAGCCGGCGGTGGAAGACGTCGTGGTAGCT